ATTTCTTTTTTTTTTTCTTTTTAGCAAACAGGTTTTTGCTGCATGCACAATTCTTGTTTCTCAAAACTTCTTTGAGGGAAGTCCCTTTTCATTTATACCCTTGCCTTTAAAGAGATTATACATTTTTAATTTCCTGTTGGGACAGATTAAAGCGGTGCCATGACACTGCTGGCTCCCAGAATCTGGGATTTCCCTGGGAATTGGATATTGCCCCACAGCCTGGCTGCCAGTCACTAAAAACTGCTCCCACATGGGAATAAAACCATGTTTAGGTACAGCAAATGTGCTTTAATCCGTGCTGAAGGTGGGGATTAACAGCAGCAAGTATGAAAAAATCAATTCCAGCAAGGAGAAGACAGAGATAAATGAAAAGGAGATAAATTTGGGTTAAATAATGACCTGTTTTAAATATATCATCCCATGCTTTGGTGTGAGCTTGCCAGACTTTGGTGTTGAGCCCCTTGTGCAGCTCCACAGGGGTCACCATCATCATCCCGAAAGTGGCCATCATCTGTGGGGGGAAAATTTCTCTTTAATCTCTTTGAATCCATCTCCTTGCCATCCCTGAACAATACCAAGGCTGGGAAATAGAGGGAAATTTTCAGGAAGGCAAAATTCTGGTGGATTTTCCATCCTGGACCCCAGAGCCAGGCACAGCCCCAGCCTGCAGAGTCACCAGCCAGGATGACAATTCTCCTGCCCTGGTGGCCACTCAGCATTTTCCCTGCCACACCGATGGTGCAAACAGGTGAAAGGTGTTATAAAAATGAATTTATAAAACATGGAGTAGCTTGGCTACTTCAGCTAAACTAAGGATAGATTGGAAGTTCCCGTGTGAGAACAGCTTGAGAGAGTTCATTTACACAACAATTAATTATTCTTGGGGAGAAAAACAAGTGTTTTATCCCTGTAATGACCAGGGATCTGCCTCATGAGAATCAGTGAAGAAAACAATTCAAGAATAGAGAGACTTGATGGACAAGTAAAATACCTTTTACTAAGCAATAGAATAATTAGCAAGAAGCTATTAGCCAATTAAAGTTGCATATGAGGTGTGTGAAAACTGTATAAAAATGTGAATAAAAAGGGGCTTTTCCTGCATGGAGAAACTGAGTCCTGACTGCTTTATTACAACAGAATGAGGCATTGCACAAAGGAGGCAGAAGCTCAGGATTAGCTGGGCACCTTTTAGGTACAGAAGCCTGAGCTACTTTTTCCAGCTGACTCCTTTAAATTTCTGCCTCTCATTAACAGCAGGGGGAAAAAATCACCACAGCCCCAGGAGAGACCCTTCCCTACCGTTTTTACAGCCTTGATGAAGTTCAGACTTTCTTCTTCTACGTCCTGCTGCAGGAGGCCAAACCTCTTTCCATACAGCACCAGACAGATACCTGTTGTGAGGCAATATTATAATTAAATTTATAAACAAAAGGGCGTGTGGGATGCATCATTTATCATCAAGGAATGGCTTGGGTGAGCCTTCTGAAAGTGTTCCTTGATGCAGAGTGGCAGAGCAGCACCTGTAAAACACCTCCTGCTTGTTTGCCTCGGCCCCAGCCAGGGTTTCCAGCTTTGGGGCCCTGGCAGCAACATTTCTGCACCCATTAGGAGTGCCCCATATCCCCTCACAAGCAGCAGAATTGCACATTTGGCTCATATTTGGTGACTTTACTGAGGAAAATTGAGTGGCAGGAGATCAGGGATTGAGGAGCCACCTCCCACAGCATTCCCCACTCCTTCCCACAGCCACAAACCACTTGCAGCATCCCCCTCTCTGCCTTTTCCACTTGTCTTTTTTCCTCCTCTTTCTTTTCAAACTGTCATTTCCTATTTGTCCCATCACCACTGACAGTGGAAAAAAAAAACCCAAACCACTTTGAGGAGCTCAGCCCAGAGCTCAGAGAGGAGCCAGTCGGCTCTGGCAGGGCTGGTTCTGTCACTACACCCTTTTTTTGGGAATCACTGAGCCACTTTCTGCCCTGTGTCATTCCTGGCACATCCCTCAGCGTGCTCTGAGAGGTTTCTAAGGATGAGGCTCTGTCTTGGTAACTCATTCCAGCCCTTCTCAATCCCACTGTAAACACTGGAAATAGGATTTTCCAATCTTTGCCTACAGCCAACACTCTGTTATTGGAATATCTCATTGATCCTGCTGATAATTAACAAATATCAGATGGACAAAAAAGGCTGTGTGTTATTTGATCCCGCTCTTCTAAAAAGCACCAATTTTTTGCTTTAAAAATCATTGGAATATTTCAATTTTAATAAGCCATGCAGGTAGCTAGGCAGAAATTCATATCTGTGCTGGTGAATTTTGCACTGACAGTCCCTGGCTGTTCTGCAACTCTCTTTCCATGATATTATAGCTGAGAGTTTGGAAATAATCAGCCAACACATTCATTCCTGATGATATTTTAACTGCAATGCCCGGGCAGGTGCACCACACTCAGGCAAAACCCAACTCACTTTCAAAGGACCATTTGTTGAATTCTGAATAAACATCTTCCATCTGTCCATTGTGGTCACAAATTTCATCTATTCTGTACATAAAGTCCTCCAGGACCTAAATGGAGGAGAGAAGAGAGAAAAAAGGGGGATAAAATTACATCAACTAATAAAAATCCGGTGTAATTCAGCATTTCAACTGCTTTTTAAGCAGATAACAATCTTGCACGAGAATAATCCTTTTGTTCCCTGTTCTTTGAGCAAGATTCAACTTCCCCCGTGTGAACAAATGTTTGGATTTGCCACAGCTCTGTGCTTCCATGAACTGTGCTTCCCTGGCAGGGATGCAATCCTTCACCGCTGGGGTTTCACAACTGAGGATTAAGGTGTTTGTCACAGATGCTCCTCAGCCTCCCGCAGGAGCACAGAGGTTAAGGACAGAGCTGTTCCCTGAGGGGAGGAATAGAAGAATGAAGGGGTAAAGGCAAAAACTACTGAATGCAGGAAAAGCAGGGACAAGCTCTTTGCAGGAGCCTTGTGGAATAATCCTATTTTTTGTGGGGACCCTCTCGGCTCCAGTTTCTCTGCGGTCTCAGAGCCCGGCAATCAGTTTGTACTCGTTATTCCCCGAATGTTCTGAGTGAACTCGTGGTTTATCACTGCGGAGTAAATAAATGTGCCCAGATAAACCGGATCTGCTTTAACTCCCCGTGCTTCCAGGGGAGCGGCAGAGAAAGGATTTCTCAGAGCACGGTACCTCATTGATCGCCGCGTCCAGTTTCACAACTTCCCGGGGCTTCATTAATTTCTTCTGAAAGGCACTTCTTACCCTCTGCCAGTCCTTCCCCTCCCTGGATGAAACAGCGACAGGGAGGTTGGAGAGCGAAAAGCCCCAAGAAGAAGGAAAGCAGACAAAGCCAAACCCGCAGCGTGCCCGCTCCCGATGCTCCATCGCACCGAGGGCACGGCCGGGGATGCTCGGGGCGGGGAGAGCCCCGCCACCCTCGGACCGCAGCATCCCCCGGGCACGGGATGCTGCGGGTACCACTCACAGGATGAGCAGCCCGTAGGCCTCGTCGCGATAGTCGCGATAGGCTTTCCAGGGCTTGATCTCCAGGCGCTGGGGGCAGGCGCTCTCGCGGCGGTACAGAGCCTCCAGCAGGCAGGGCGCTGCGATGTGCACCGAGTCGAAGGCGCCCAGCTTCATGCGGAAAATCTTCCCGAACCTGCGGTGGTACTGAGCCTGGGGAGCGGCGAAACACCCGCCGTGAGTGCGGGGCGGCGCGGCATCCTCATCCCATCCCATCATCATCCCATCCCATCCCATCCTCCTCCTCATCATCATCATCCCATCCCATCATCATCCCATCCCATCCTCCTCTTCCTCCTCATCATCATTATCCCCATCCCATCCTGTCCCAACCCATCCTCCTCTTCCTCATCATCATCCCCATCCCATCCTCCTCATCATCATCATCCCCATCCCATCCTGTCCCATCCCATCCTCCTCTTCCTCACCATCATCCCCATCCCATCCTGTCCCATCCCCGCGGCCTCACCAGGGTCTCGTGCTGCCTCTTGAGCCCCCCTTTCCAGAGCACGTCGGGCAGGCTGCCCATCAGCGGCCAGCTGGGCGGCCCGGGCAGTGTCTCCGCCGGCCGCAGAGCGCTCAGCGAGGACGCGGCGCGGCCGCAGGTGCGCCCGGGGAACCGGCGGAGGAGGAGGAGGAGGATGCTGCAGCCGCCCATGGCCGCGGTGCCGGCTCCCGGCCGCGCATAGGTGCATTTATAGCAGCCCGAGGTGCTGGACTTTCATCCGCGCCAATGGCAGCCCTGGGTGGGGTGAGCTGGGGCGGCTGCCCCGGCCCTGCCCGCCGAGCCCGCGGGGCAGGCGGGTCATGAAAGGGTTCAGGAGAGGCAGGGAAGGCACCGCGCCAGCGCCTCCGCCAGCTGGGAGCTGGGGATGCGCGGGTGGGACCCGCTGGGATCCGGGAATTCGGGGATCAGACCCGTCGGGATCCGGGAATCCGGGGATCAGACCCACCGGGATGTGGGGATGCGCGGGTGGGACCCGCGGGGATCCGGGGACGCGCGGGTCGGACCCGCCGGGATGCGGGGATCAGACCCGCCGGGATCCGGGGATGCGGGGATCGGGCCCGCTGGGATCCGGGGATGCGGGGGTGGGACCCGGTGGGATCTGGGGATCCGGGGATCAGACCCGCCGGGATGCGGGAATCCGGGGATCAGACCCGCTGGGATCCGGGGGTGCGGGGATCGGAGCCGCTGGGACCCGGGGATGAGGGAATCGGACCCGCTGGGATCCGGGGATCAGACCCGCTGGGATCCGGGGATGCGGGGGTCGGACCCGCTGGGATCCGGGGGTGCGGGGGTCGGACCCGCTGGGAGCGCGGATCGGACCAGCCGAGATCCGAGGATCCGGGGATCGGAGCCGCTGGGATCCGGGGATGAAGGAATCGGACCCGCCGGGATCCGGGGATGCGGGGATCGGACTCGCTGGGATCCGGGAATCGGATCCGCCGGGATGCGGGGATCGGTCCCGCCGGGATGCGGGGATCGGTCCCCGGGAGGAGGGGACTCAGCGGTGGCCACGCCACAGGCAGCGGCTCCGCTCCTTGCCTGGTGTTCGTGCGAGCGGACTCGTAGCTCTCTCTCACTCTCTCTATTTTTATTATTATTTTTTTTTTAGTTACTGTTCTTGTCCGAGCACCCGCATGAGCGAGGAGCGCTGTGGTGGTGGAGTTCATCCTGCAGAGCGCAGGTGGCAGAGTAATTCCGTTTTCCCGCAGCAATTGCCCTTTAAAAAGACGGAATAAGAAAGCGCAGGGAGCTGAGGAACAAGAAGTTGCGGGGTGTGAGCTGCCCTTACCCTCTCTGGTTGAGTAACAAGAAAAGATCATGTGGGCATCACCAGGGAAGGCAAAATTCCCATCAATGTGAGTGTTGTTAGCCATTAAATCCTGATAAAAATGAGTGAATCTCAGTCTTTTAATCAGAAACTGCCCAGAAATGCTTGAAAAGTTTGAGGCTGAGAGGAGCAAGAACAGGTAAAGGAGGGGGAAGGGAAGGGAAGGGAAGGGAAGGGAAGGGAAGGGAAGGGAAGGGAAGGGAAGGGAAGGGAAGGGAAGGGAAGGGAAGGGAAGGGAAGGGAAGGGAAGGGAAGGGAAGGGAAGGGAAGGGAAGGGAAGGGAAGGGAAGGGAAGGGAAGGGAAGGGAAGGGAAGGGAAGGGAAGGGAAGGGAAGGGAAGGGAAGGGAAGGGAAGGGAAGGGAAGGGAAGGGAAGGAAGGGAAGGGAAGGGAAGGGAAGGGAAGGGAAGGGAAGGGAAGGGAAGGGAAGGGAAGGGAAGGGAAGGGAAGGGAAGGGAAGGGAAGGGAAGGGAAGGGAAGGGAAGAAGAGCTGCAAGTCAGAGCTACCTGTAATCGAGAGGATTTCCAGGAAAGACAGCTTGGCTGCAATGGGGATTTGATTTTCTTGCACCCCACACCACCTTTTCTCTTCTTTCCCAAGTTGTGACTCAGCTCGAATCCCCTCATGGGAGGCTTTGACAGAAGCAGAGTGTGCAGACACTGGGCGTGTTGGACAGAGCACGAGCCGAAGATGGATTTGACACATAGAGGCACATGTCTCACAGTCAAATTAATAACAACAAAAATACCAAGGCAACAGTGATCAGCAGAGAGAAAATGTACACAAGAAAAGAAAATGCACGCTGCAGAATTTTTCTGGGAGTTTTGTATGTCCTTCCCAAGTGATTTTCTGCAATGGGGTCATCCTCTGTGGGCCACAAGGTCAGAGAACTTCCCAGGCAGGCTTTAAGTTAAAGTTAAATTTGGTTCAAAGGTTTGTATTCTATTTTTTTTTTTGGGGGGGGCCCCTAAAGTTGAAATTCTGTGATTTGTTTGCTTTGAAGCAGTGCTACTGAAACACATCTCCCTGTCCTTGCAGGCAGCTCAGGCTCCATTCAATGATGAGTCCTGAGAGACCAGACAAGACGAGACAATTTGTGCACTCTGCCTATTTAAGGAATGAGAATGAACTCATTTGAAGGGTCACAGCTTCGTGCCTGTGAAACGATGTCTTTGAAGAGCTTGGAACAGGCAAGTCAAGACTAAACTGGGCACAGGTCAATTTTTCCATGTTCTTCACAGCTACGGGGAGGAAACCACCCTGTTAATGTGAAATCCGCTCTCTCTGAAGCTGTTTTTAAATGACAGAATGGAAAAGGTTGTGTTTAACTCCCGTGGCCGAGTCGTAAGTCCCTGGCAGGGAAGTTGGAGTGCTGGGAGCTGGGACAGAAAACAATCCCTCAGTTCCTGCTCAAGTGCAAGTCCAAGGCTGTTTGCAGCCTCCCTCCTTTTTAAGAGATCTCAAACCCAAGCTTTAATTTTCATCTGTGACCTTTAGAACATATCAAGGGTTATCTTGATGCCTCAGGTTTAGCTTTTATATTTTTCACATTCTGTGCTGATTTAGTCTGTGGGTTTGGGCTTCACATTAGGGATGGTGAGCTCTGTGCACAGAGCAGGGAGACAAAACAATTCCTGCTCCAGCTGGGCACCAAGGACAAATGATCCAAATCTCAGCCCAGGAGCACAAACACCGTGGGCTGGAGAGAGAAAAACAAGCAGGGTGGGACTGCCTGGGCTAAAGCTGGAATGGGACAATGAACTCCAAGGTGCCAATGGAGCAGAACTGATCCCAGGGAGAGCCCCCGGGAGCGCTCGTGCATTTTGGGACCATTTTGGTTCATTTGGGTTCATTTTGTGCCATTTTGGTTCATTTGTGTGCAGCCCTGGCTGGGCTCTGGTGCTGCCCAAGGTGGATCCATGGAGGAGATCCTTTGAATAAATCCCTGCTTTATTCTGTAACTCTGCCCAGCCTCTAGGTCAGCCTGCACAAGGCAGCAGTTCCAAGAGAAAAGCTGGACCAGTTCAGTCTCCTTGAGCTGAATTTTGGGTTTTTCCCTCCTCCGAGGCACCTCAACTGTGAAGGTGTCACCACCATCCCACAGATGTCCATCCACAAAACTTCCCAGTATTTCCCAACATAACAGCAAATGACAGCTTGGAGTGGAAAATTAAAATTTCTCTTCACTTCTCTGCTATGGCAAAGAGGATTTTTGGGTCAAAGACCAGGAAATAGCTGAAGATCAAAATTAAAGAGCTGATTTTTCTGCGCTTCTCTTTTGCTCTTGGTTTGTTTTCTTCTCCCTTGGATGTCAGGAGAGAATATTCCTTGAAAAACCATGTGCCAGTGGGATGCTTCTGTGGAAGATTTGCTGTGCAGGTACACACAGCTGGCTCAGATTTTTTCACCACTAAATATTCCATTAGTCCAAGTTTTAGAGGTGCTTTCTGAGCTGGTTCCATTTCTAGTCATACTTTTTGGGAAATAATTGTAACATATTTGAATAAAGGTTGGAAATCCCATCAAACTCAGAGCTCCTGCCCTGGATTAAGGGACTGAGGTGTGCTTGGGAAGCTCATTAAAAACAACATCTGAACTTCCAGACCAAAACCTTGGAGCTCATGGAAAGTGACCTGAGTGATTTTCGTGTAGTTCACTTCAAATGCATCAAAAATCACCAAAATAACTCCTCAGTGGGAAACAGCTTTATGTTGGGAGTGGATTTTCACTCTTAATGCCTGTAACTCCAGGAGGTTTATTCTGTGACATATTACACAATTCCTGTCTCCTGGCCTCGGATCTTTCTCCTGGTTGGGAAAAGCTTTTTGCTAATTTGGCCTTAAAATTTTTGTGAAATCTTTGAATTTTCTAAATTAATACAAAATGCTGAAATGCCAAAGGAGCGGATTAACAGGGAGAGTGTCACAGGAAGGTATTTCACAATGTGAGAAGGCAAATTCATTGCAACTTGCAAACTCTGGTTGTTATTGCAGAGTTTGCTTGTGCTTGTTTATACACTTTTAATTCTGTGTTAAGTCTTTTAATTCTCTTTCCAACTGATGATCTTTGAGTTTTGTAAATATTGATGGGAAAGTACAGTAATTCCCATTCTCCAGAAGAGGAACTGAAACGGTTTTGAAAACTGAGATCTCTAAGATATCCACTTTTGCTGTGAAATGAAAGCAGAAGAAACCTTTTTTCTATTTTCACTCAAATACTGGTTTTTAACACCAAACTCCTTATCTCCCATTCTGGATGATTACTCCTCTCCAGGATGACAGTAGCAGTGGATGAAAACGCAAATTCCACCAGCCCAGGAATCCTCCAGCTGGCCATGACCTGTGTGGGGATATAAACATTATCACGCTCCACTTTGGAGTTTGGGAACTCCAAAGGTCTCCATGAGGCAGGGAGAGGGGAGATTTTGGGAGCTCCAAAGGTCTCCATGAGGCAGGGAGAGGGAAGAGTTTGGAAACTCCAAAGGTCTCCATGAGGCAGGGAGAGGGGAGAAGAGTTTGGGAACTCCAAAGGTCTCCATGAGGCAGGGAGAGGGGAGAAGAGTTTGGGAACTCCAAAGGTCTCCATGAGGCAGGGAGAGAGGAGAAGAGTTTGGGAATTCCAAAGGTCTCCATGAGGCAGGGAGAGGGGAGATTTTGGGAATTCCAAAGGTCTCCATGAGGCAGGGTGAGGGGTGAAGAGTTTGGGAACTCCAAAGGTCTCCATGAGGCAGGGAGAGGGGAGAAGAGTTTGGGAACTCCAAAGGTCTCCATGAAGCAGGGAGAGGGAAGAGTTAGGGAACTCCGAAGGTCTCCATGAGGCAGGGAGAGGGGAGATTTTGGGAACTCCAATGGTCTCCATGAGGCAGGGAGAGGGGAGAAGAGTTTGGGAACTCCAAAGGTCTAAATGAGGCAGGGAGAGGGGAGATTTTGGGAACTCCAAAGGTCTCCACGAGGCAGCAAAAGCATGGCAATGCCCTTCCCCACTGGTTTCACTGCAGAAGGCTGGAGCAAGGAAGGGAAAATGTGCCAAGAGCCCCAGAGGAGCCGTGAGACGAGGGCAGGGCGTGGAAGGGATCCCAGCAAGGGGAAGCCAAACAAGAGCAGCAGGGAGCAGAGCAAGAAGGAGCAAGTCCTTTATGCAACTGGAGAGGAGCGAGGGCGCCGGGTTCAGCGGGTTCCTCTCCTTCCTCCACGCTGCCTGGCTGCACTCGGGAGCTGTTTTCACTTTTATTTACATAAGAAAGGTCTGCAGTGAGTTGCTCTTGGCAAGGCTCACCCCGCAGAGCTTGCCCGAGCATGTGGGAGAATAAAAGAATTTCTTTTCAAAGCCTTGGAGTCATCGGATTCTTGTGAAATCCGCTCCTTTTCTCTTGAGGGAAGCTGCACCGGCCCCGTGTGCTGTGCAGTTCCTGCAGCCAGGGAAATACCCGCGGCTCGGGCTGTGTCCTCTCCTAGCAGGAGGGAGGAGAGGTTGTTTTCTGAGGAAAAGAGAGCTTTGGAGCTGGGATTATGTTTTTATAGAAACTAATAATAAATCATGTGGTTCTCTGGGGAGAAATTTGGTGATGAGCTTCTTTCCTCAGTGGGAAGCAAGGCATGGTGATGATGATGATGCACCAAAATAAAATGTAACATCAGCCTGAGGAGCACCCAAAATATCCTTTATTATCCAGTCTTTCCTACTGGTTTGGAACAGGAGTTTTGAAATGAGCAACCATTCGGGACTGAAAAAAACCAAACCAGAAATCATTTTATTTCAGGCAATATGATAGAATTAAGTATCCCATCCTACTCCATCCCATCCCATTTCCTCATCCCATAGATCCCATCCATATCCTACTATCCCATTATCCCATCATCCCATCCCATCATCCCATCCCGTTATGCCATCCCATCCCAATATCCCATGGATCCCCTCCCATGGATTCCAATATCCTGTTATCCAGTTATCCCAATATCCCATGGATTCCAATATCCCAATATCCCATTATCCCAATATCCCATGGATCCCAATATCCCGTTATCCCAATATCCCAATAGTTATCCGAATATCCCATTATCCCATGGATCCCGTTATCCTGTTATCCCATGGGTCCCATCCCAATATCCTGTTATCCCATGGATCCCATTATCCCATGGATCCTGTTATCCCGATATTCCATGGATCCCATTATCCCATGGATCCTGTTATCCCGTTATCCCATGGACCCAGTTATCCCGTTATCCCATGGATCCCATTATCCCGTTATCCCGTGATCCCATGGATCCCGTTATCCCGTTATCCCATGGACCCGGTTATCCCGTTATCCCGTTATCCCGTTATCCCGTTATGGATCCCGTTATCCCACGGATCCCATCCCGTTATCCCGTTATCCCACGGATCCCGTTATCCCGTTATGGATCCCGTTATGGATCCCGTTATCCCGTTATCCCGTTATCCCACGGATCCCGTTATCCCGTTATCCCATGGATCCCATCCCATTATCCCGTTATCCCGCGGATCCCGTTATCCCGTTATGGATCCCGTTATCCCGTTATCCCGTTATCCCGTTATGGATCCCATGGATCCCGTTATCCCGTTATCCCGTTATGGATCCCGTTATCCCGTTATGGATCCCATTATCCCGTTATCCCGTTATCCCGTTATGGATCCCGTTATCCCGATATCCCGTTATCCCGTTATCCCACGGATCCCGTTATCCCGTTATCCCGTTATCCCGTTATCCCGTTATGGATCCCGTTATCCCGTTATCCCACGGATCCCATCCCGTTATCCCGTTATCCCATGGATCCCATCCCGTTATCCCGTTATCCCGATATCCCGTTATCCCGTTATCCCGTTATGGATCCCGTTATCCCGATATGGATCCCATTATCCCGATATCCCGTTATCCCGCTATCCCGTTATCCCGTTATCCTGTTATGGATCCCGATATCCCGTTATCCCGTTATCCCGTTATCCCGTTATCCCGCGGATCCCGCCCATTCCCGTCTCACGGCGCCCCCTGGCGGACCATCCCCGGAGGCGCCAGCCGCCCCTCCCACCGGGCCGTACCAAGCGCCGCGGGGGCGCCTTCACATCACTCCGAGCTGCGCGGCCGCTCGGGACACCCCGGCGCGCTGCCAGCGGCTCCCATGGAGACAATTCCCGATTTTCCCAGGCTCGCAGCCTTTTCCTGGAGTTTTTCCTTTGCTTCCTTCTCTTCCCCGTGCCCACTGCACCCCCTGTGCGCGGGGCGCGGGTGGTTCAGCCCCGCATGGCCGCTCCAGCGCCAACATGGCCGCCACCATGAAGAAGGCGGTGAGTGGGGAGCGGGCCCGGCGGGATTCACTCCTTTTCAGCAGGATTTTCTCCCTTCCCGCAGGAATTCCATCCCTCCCGAGGCTCCTCCGCTGTGTCCCTCAGCCTCGGACGCGGCCGGGCCGAGCCGTGCCCAGAACGGCGCGGCCGCCGCTCGCTGCTGAGGGCGCCGGGCTCGGGCGGCTCGTTGTAAACAACGATGGATAAACAGGGTGGATGTGAGGAGAAATTTGTTCTCTGAGAGGATGCTTAGTTATGGAGTCGTCATCATCATGGCTTGGGTTGGAAAGGAGCTTTAAATTCATCTCATTGCATCATTCCATGGCAGGGACACCTCGCACTGTCCCAGGGGCTCCAAGGCCTGACCTCCCTCCAATTCCTCCCCAAATATCCCTCCTCTCTGACAATTCGCAGCCATTCTGCTCTGTACGTCACTAACTGCTCCTGTTCGTGGTGTCTCTGCAGAGAAAACTCGGAGCAGGGTGTCCAGTTCAGTCCCCAGTGGCAAGGAAACTGCTTTGCCTTTAGGATGCTGTGGATTAATTGTTAGGGGCAGTGTTTTAATTGGATGTTACCCAGCTAAATGTGGGTATTTCTGGTGTCCATGAATAGGCACTTTGAGCAATCAGGTGCATAAGCAGAGTGTGGTGTTTGCCAGATTATTTCCCATCACTTTGTAGGAATATCCTTGCAGTGAAACTCAAGTTAATGTAAAAACTGAAATAATTGTTTTGACCTCTCCTCCTTGCAGGCTGCAGAAGATGTCAATGTCACCTTCGAAGATCAACAGAAAATTAACAAGTTTGCAAGAAACACCAGCAGGATCACAGAGCTGAAAGAAGAGATAGAAGTGAAAAAGGTATATTTGCTTCTGATCTCATGAGCTTTTCATTGGATTTTTAGCTGGAACAGAGAAGACTAGCAGAAGAGAGTTACTGTGAGTTTAAGTTATGCTTGGGTTCTGATATGAGGTTTCTTACACTTTGGAAATAGAGAATGGTAAGATACCAGATTAATTAATAAATGTCACTAATATCAGATATTAGTGATATTTAAACCTGCTGTATTGCCCTTGCTCGGACAGTTAATTATTCTGTTAATGACAGATAATGAGTGCTGACTAGGAGTTTTTACTGGATGGAATTGCTGAATTCCAGCTCTGACTCTGATCTCGTGGATGTCCTGGTGGTGGGTGGGGATTTGTCCCCAAACTCCAGCTGTGCCATGGAAAGGCTTTACACAGGGAGCCTCTTTCTGTGTCCTGGCAAACAGAAGCAGCTGCAGAACCTGGAGGATGCCTGTGATGAGATCATGCTGCTGGATGATGAAGATTCCCACCCGGTTCCCTACCAGATTGGGGATGTCTTCATCAGCCACTCCCTGGAGGAGACCCAGGAGATGCTGGAGGAGGCCAAGGTTTGTCTGGAGCAGCTGGGCTGTGTGTGAGCTGGGCACTGGGGTGGGATCTGCACCCTCTGGAGCTTTCACAGTCTGAAATGGATGTTTGGTTTAGGATTTGAATCACTCCAAAGGCACTCCAGCAGTGAATCCTGCAGCCAGACCTGGGAATGAGTTGGAAAAGAGGCACCTCATTGTTGGTTCTGTGTTGCTGACAAGCCTGGCTCAGTTTGTTGTACAGGATTGATTTGAATTTATTTTTTCTTTTTCAGAGGAGTTTACAGGAGGAAATTGAAGCGCTGGAATCTCGAGTGGAGTCGATCCAGAGCGTGTTGTCTGACCTCAAAGTTCAGCTCTATGCCAAGTTTGGGAATAACATAAATCTGGAGGCTGAGGACAGTTAAAGCTTTTCTAAACACAGCACCCAACTTTTCCTTAGGTTATTAAATGTTTTGATAACATTGCTGCAATTATATTTGAGAACAGAAAATCCATCCCTTTCTTTTTGTTGGTTTGTTTTTTAACTTCCCTGTAAAGTTGTATACATTTAATAAGAACTTCCTTATTTTGGTTATTGCAGTTATTTATTTATTCAGGAAAGCACTGACTTCACATTGCTGGTAAAGCATCAAAATTGGCATATTTGCATGGTTTATTAAGGCAATAAAGCCAGGCATGTATTGGAGTTTCCTGGGTTTTGTTTTCCACTCATGAAGAGGTTTAAAACAAATGGAAGGAGGGAATTTTGGAGTGGCTGTTGGCTAAAATCTGTGTGACACGGGACATGACGAGGGAGTGATGCTGTTCAGGGGTTTTTAAGAGCCCTGGAGCTCCTAAATTCCTCCTCTGTGCTTCACCCTCAGCTCAGGTGTCAGGAGTAACAAAGGCTCTTTAAAGTTCAGTTTTGTAGTGAGGAAAAGCTTTTGGAGCCCCCATATTCACTCATTTACTGCTTTGTATTTGGGAATCCCAAAAACTGCTGCAAATCACTGTGGTGAGTCTTAATTTCTAATTGTCCTGAACAGCTCCTAAATCCATATTTATGCAGCAAATTGCTGTCACAGTTGTTCATAGAGTCAGCACCGAGCCCTCATCTTTGCCTCCATCGCTAGGAGGAGTTGAATGCAATTTTTAAATGTCTTAATTACCTTCATTTGTCTTTATAACCAAAGAAAACACAGAAGGGGGGTGATTTTTCCAGATGAAAACTGCTGGAGTTTGACCCACAACGAGGAGCACCCAGCAGATGGCATCAGCAATCTGGGAATCCCAATTTTGGGCAGGCCCGTGGCAGGCTGGCAGTGCCACTGCTGCTTGGAGTGCAGCAGCTTTGGCTGCAGGATTTAACTGGCTGGTGACAGTTCCAAAGTCACTGCTGTGCTGAGCATTTCGCAGCTCTGCAGGGATTTCAGTGATTGGCACTTCCAGCTGGGCCACAGGATGGATGTGGCTTCATTGTAGGGGGAAAAATATGGGGTTTGGAATGGTTTGGGTTGGAAGGGACCTTAAAGATTATTTATTTCCACCCCTCCTGCCATGGCAGGGCATGGAGAGCTTGCTGCTCTTTGATCCTAAAATTGGGATTGGCCATAAATACAGTGCTGGTGCTTAGAGAAGGTTCTGCAGTGCCACAGATCTGATTTTCCCCCTTATTTTCTCACCCTTTATGGTTTTACATGGGTGATGCATTTTTCCTGTTGGCTTTTTTGCCCCTGGGATGTCCAATTTCCTCGTGTGCTCTGGCCACTTGTGCTTGCAAGTCATTACAGCTCAAAAATGTTCAGCTCAGCCTCTGAATTTTTGTCGTTTGCAGAGCTCCTGTGCCAAGCTATCATTTGGTATTTTTATATGTGCAAAGCAGAACGTGCAGGAAACACTTTTTTTATTCTGGAGTTGTCATTGTGGAAGTGACTTTGCAGATGGTGCATCAGCTGCTTGGAAGTATTTGACAGCATCCTGGTTTTGCCTTTTAATAACCTTTCTGTCATGCAGATTTGCAATTGTTTTTTGAGTTGGCACTTGCTCTGTTCAGCACCCCATGTTGCAAAGACTTTTAATTTTTGGCAGATTGGAATCTGTTACCTCTAATAATAATGTTTCCTTTACCTGAACAAGAGAACTGAAATAGAAGCCATGAACCAAACCCTGGTGCTCTGTTCACCCATTACTCACGGAATCAGCTTTATTTTTGTCTGAAAATACAACTTCAGTGTGGGTTTTGTTTTGCAAGTCACAGAGTCACCCATAGCTGGGTTTGCACTTGGCTGCAGCAATTAAAGCAGTAAAATACAGGTGAAATTCAGCTCATTTTTGGTGCCTGCTGTTAAGGAGCTCCCAGTTTTTTTGAAGCTGGGTAAAACCTCTGTCAAACACGGTGGGGTTTGCAAGGTTTGTTTGTGATTTTGCATCTCTGGTACAAAAATTGTTTCCCACAGGATGATCTCCAGGGGAACCTTTATTAATCCCCGTTCTGTAGAGCAGATCTGGGCTCCCTTTGCACTCCACAATACAAATGTGGTGGATAATGATTCAGTAATTACAGGAAATGGTGTGTGTCTGAAGCAGTGACAATTTTGTGATAATAAAATCACATCCAAGGGCAAAGAGAGATTGAATTCTGAATACTGAAGCCACATTTTCTGTAGGAACAACAGAGCTGAGCAGTTTGGTTTGCATGAGTCAGTGGTTCAGATAATTTCTCTAATGTTATTCTAATAGCCTGATTCACGAGAGAGAAAAAAATATGAATATATATATATAGGCATAATAAGGCCTGACAGAAATTATTTACAACAAACTTTGTCTTTATTTAGATTGTGTGAGTCACACAGAAAACCAAATTATTTTGTAATTAAACTCTGGCTACTGATGGAGCTGCACAGAACACCAAACACAGGCCAGGGAGGGTTCCCCCAGCATTAAGGGCAGTTTCATCCAGATGATAAAAGGTGGAATAAAAAATTCTAAACATGAAGAGAACATCAGAATGTGCTCAGTGTTGGACTCCAGGCTAGGCCAGGACTGCTCCCAGCCTTTCCTTAAGGAAAAAATCCTGTTGGATTTCTCAACACAGCCCAGCAAAGTGAGGAAAAACCTTTCTCAGTGGAGTTTTAGAGTTTGACAGGTTTCACCCTTCAAGCACAGTCCAGAATTCCATCAAATCATTGAATTGGGGTGCTTTTCCTGCCTTTTCTGTAGCAACCAGGGTTGTGCACACCAGACTTACAACACACGGCTTTGAGGGTTTTAAAATTCTGTTTAGAGTTTAAATTTCTGCTGTCTCTTGGGTATCTGGGGTAAGTCTGAATTTAACCAAGCTCCTGTGTAAGGCCTGGCCTTTGACCAACAACAAATTTATATTTATTTATGAGATAAAACTGGCTGCCTTTGGGTACAATCAACTCAGAGGAAAATTATTAATCCAAACACACACGAGCAAGGACTGCTGGTAACTCCAACACTGCTTTTTATTAACACCTGGGGGGAAAATAATAAAACATTCCATTCCATTGATGCTGTGAAAGCACTTTCCCCTCCAGTTTTTAATCCTGCTGTTCAAAGTTCAGCCAGAAGAGCTTTGGTTTGCTTCTGAAAATGTCTCCCAGCACCAGTGTTGAACATATCAGGGATCAAACAGCCTCTGGGAGAGGTTTGAAAACTAAAGCTTGTCTGTTTGTAGGGGCTGGGGATGGGTACAGTGTTTGCTATGTGTGTGCTGCCTCAAACAAATCATTGTGGTCATTTCAGCTCTTGAGGAGTCATGGGCGAGTTGGAGATGTTCAGGATGGCATTTATAAGAGTTGAGCTTTCCTTTGCAGAAAATGCTGCTGCACATGTGCAGTTAAATCGAAATATTACAAATTAGTCAAACCTAAATATTAAAAATCACCATTTTTATTTAAAGGAACAAAATGGACTTTGCTGTAGAAGAATTTTGGTCCCAATGACACATTTTATTGCAGTCACGATACTTGGTTATAGACAAGTGGTGCAGAATTTCTTTTACTCCTAAATTTGACAGATCTATGGTTGAAAATCCATTTCTAAATATCTAAATGCAAATTTGCATTTCCATTTACTGACTGAAAAGCCCAAAGATGAGACACGGGGTGTGGGAGCTCGGGCTGTGTTTTCCTCTGGGTTTTTGTCTCCCACCAGGGCTGTGTGCACAGGAATGCACACGGAGCCCTGGCCTGGTTTATCTCCAGCTCTGGCAGAGCCCAGATTGATTGAGGAAATGCCAATAGAGAGAGAGAAAAGGGCTGGGCTGGATCAGGATGCAGCTCTGAGCTGCTTACACACCCAAATCAAACCTGCTCCATCCCTAACCCAAGCCAAGCAAACAGTTAAAGCTATAAAATATTTATAAATGGAAAAAAAAACCACCACAGGCTCCTCTGGGCAACCACCTCACCCTGAGAGGGGGGAATTTCTTCCCAATATCCCATCTAAACCTCCTCTCTGTCAGTTTGTTCCACTGATTTGCTGGTAAGTTCCCCACCAGAACAAGAACACACCCAAAAACCCCATGAAGCTGCTGATGACTCCATTTGAGAGGCTTGGGCTGGTGATAAACCTGGGATAAAAAACCTTTATCCCTGTCACTTTGTACCCCAGCCTGCCATCAGTCATCTGAACTGCAGCAAATGTTAGCCAGGGAAATCTCTGCTCTGGAACAGCTTTATTGGAGGCTGTTCTCTTGGACAAAGAGCTGTCAAATACCATTAGCACAGCCTGTCCATCTTTCATGGTTTTGTTTTTAAGATATAAAGCCTGAAGCAATATGGTATCAGTCTGTAGATTAAATGAAAGGTTGCAAAGTAGATATTTTATCTGATTTATCACGATTTGCTGCTGATAATTCATGAGGCTCAGGAGAGATTTCACCTGCTCATCACTCGGGGCATTGGAGAGGAAGAAGATTTCCTTTAAATGATTGTAAAGCACATCTGGGCTGGTGTGTGTGCAGAGCAGGACAACTTTGAATTTCCACATCTGATGAGGTTTGGTGAACTGGAAGAGGGAAATGTAGAAACCTACATCTTTTTCATTTGTAGGGACAGAATTTAATAAGATAACAATAAACAAAAACTAAAAACCAAAAAAGCCCAATACATCTCTTGTTCCTAACACAAAATTATTCCCCCTGCCAGGGGACCCAACTTCAAACCCACAAGCTCACAGGGAAATGTCAGCAGGGCAGTGGCAGGGAAATCCTCAAGGGAAAGGAGAACACACCTCAGGCAGGCTGGCCTTGGTGACAGCAGAGCTGGGAATTCCCACCAGGAATTTCTGCTGGGGTTGGGCTGAGCAGCAACAGCTGATGATGGCAAAGAAAATCCACAGGGCAGAGATTCCAAAAAAAGCTCAGAACCCACAGGGCAGAGTGTCGGAATCTGTGGTATTGATGATTCTGAGATTGTAGAAAGTCTCTGTCTGTCAGCCCCGCTGCCAAAGCAGAAGCCATAATTGGTCTGTGCTGTTTCAAGGTTGTTTATTCTGTTTATCTCTCACATGTTCTGCTGCCCTGCCGCAGCTCTGTCCTGCAGGGCAGCGTGTGGGGCTCTGCCCTCAGTGGGATGGTACAAACATTAAATACCACAAACTACCTGTGCTGGATTTACAATAACGTGCCAATATCTGTCACCTACGTTGGACAGTGTGTCCCCAGCCTGAAC